TGTATAGCAGGTTTTTTTTTTTTTTTGCCAACGCACCGGTATATTATAATTTTTAATGAACATCATGCAATCACGAACATGCCGATTAATATGACACAGATATGTTCCTCAGGCTTCACTAATGTGATTGGTCAATACACTGCACACATGTTCCCATCAAGGCATCTATGAAGGGGATTTTGTGAACAGAAAGGGGGATCACAATGTAAATGTGCAGCCAAGTTACTATTACAATTCTTAATATTCCAGATTAGTAATATTATATCAAATTTAAAAAAGGCAGTTGACAGACTAAAATCTCTAGATGGTGTGTGACTGTTCCATATCACAAATGTGGAAGCACAGAGATTCACATTTATGCACATTAGTTGAACATGGTATCAATATCAAGCTCACTGTATTACAGTTACAATGCAGCTCTAGCCAGGACAAGGTCACACAATGAAATTAACTTTGGCCAACTAAAGGGAAGATTTCAGTGTCTGAAAAGCCTGAGGGTTGCACTTGACAGGGCCTGTGACATTACATGTGCCATATTAAACAATATTTCCACCATCAGCAAAAATATAAAACATTTCATTAAATGTTTAATAAAAGACAAGACAAATATGCTTAGTTCTTTGATTTTTTATTTAAATTGTTATTTGTAAAGAAAAGCCAGTGATCAAGTCATATTTTGCCTGCAATAAGAGATACTATGCAAGGTCAGCAATTATAGTACTCTGTGTGAAATAATACATTAGCACTTACTCTGAAGTTCCTTTGAAGCAACTCTAACTCTATAGTGCCAGTTTTCTCTTTAAGTTGTCAAGTCTCCCCCTGATAAAAATACTCTATTTTCTAGGGGCAGGGGGGCTTGGGTTAAACCTGTCAACACAAGCCTTATGCAACAAAAAATAAAAGGAAAAGTATACACTGCCCACCTCTAACTGCTGTATGCAGACTCTTCTGATGTGGACTCCTGCAACACATATTGCATTCAGAAATAATAGGTACTCAAGTGTAAATTAAGTAAAGTTATTTAAATATACTTTCTCCAAAAGACAGTCATCTGAGAGAGTTTCTTCACTGTCCTGTGCATTGGTGGGGAAATGGGCATTACAAAGTGTTGTACTTTTTTTCCTTTTGATGTAAAGTTTGGAAAAGTCCACTTACTGCACATGGATCAGCCAGGAACAGATAAATGTGTTGGTGTTTAAAACTGCACAAAAAAGGAAAACACAATTTCATTACAATGAAGTACACTGGGGGGAAATGTGATCAATAACTCATGGCAACATATTTTTTTTACATTAACTACATGTAGTTTCACACATGCACACTTTCACAAGTAAGCAATTCATCACTAGGCCTACTCAAGGTTTAACAGCTGATATGACTGGACCAGCCATTGGGATTATAGGCCTATAGTGCAGCAAAAAAAATATTTTACAGTGTAAGATCATTTAAAGTTCATTTACCAGTAATGAAGGAGTTGCTGCTACTGGTCCCTGCTGTGTGTCTGAGGAAGAGCTGAACCCAGGACGGGTCGGTTCACATTTAACCCAAGGGCCAGCTCTTCTGCCGGGGTATAATGTGGGGGTGCAGGACCACCACCTGTTTGTTTTTCTTTTCTTTTTTTAAATCAGCCTTTTTCTTGGTTGCTTTTATAAACAAGCAAACATTTATTAACAGTGCCTTTTTAAAAGAGACTGCCTATATACCATTATGTAGAATATTCTAGAACTTCACTTTTACTTGTTCCCATGTTAGTGGGTGGTGACTGACATTACAATGAACAAAGTTATTAATTATTTAGAAATTATTAAAATAAAAAAATATATAGCTACTGTAATAAGTGATAAAAACATCTAAATGGTCACTACAAACTTAATTTGCTACTTTTTGCCAGCCCTCTCTTCTGGCTTTGCACATTTTAGGTGAAAACTTGTAATTAAGTTTTCAAATTCAGCATAATATTCTAACAATAACTCTTGCTCTGCTGCAGAGTAAAACTGAGCGCGCTCTTTGGCCACGGTGAGCAGCCAATAGCAGCGTTGCTGATCAATGTTTCTACTATCGATACATATCCCCTTTTAAACCAGCGCATGAACGCGCAATTATCTCAGATAACTCAATCCAGCGATACTAATCATAAACAACAGGTGTGTTCGAAGAACCCAATTAGCCGGATCATGAATAGCACGATGATATCATCTTGGATGTCTCAATTGATCTCGGATGTTTTAGGCAACGTACGAAGAACAAGCCCCAGTCCTGACACACTTGTATGTAAATGCTGCTTCTGTCACTGAAATAAGAGCGCACAGTTTATCTGTCAATCAGCTGCGCATGGAAGTTGTGCGTTACTATAGCAACAGTCGGCTGTTGACCACTGACCTGTGCTCTCGACACGTTACTTTCAGAATTATCATTGGCTGATAGAATTAAAGTATACTGTAGCATTACTATATATTAATTAACTAATATATAGTATAGAATTAATATACTATATATATATATATATAAGCATATATACACACACACACTCACTCATGTATAATTTTAATTATTTATTTATTGCAGATTAAGTGGAGTTATGCTAAGAGGCTATATTAGCCACTGTCTGATGATCCACTAATTACTAATATTGCTTATGAAGACTTGATATGTATCCTGGAAAAGGCTGTGTCGCTGGAACACGCAGATCTACACCTTTAATTGTTTTTAATTATTTAGCCCAGTTAACGAAAGGCTTTTTACACATGAGTAGGGGTGGGCGATATCTCGATATTTAAAATATATCGAGATATTTTTTAAACACGATATGGATTTTGACATATCGTATATATCGATATATTGTTTATATTTAATCCTGATTTCGCCACTTTGCTTGTTTGCCTTCTCTGTGCTGTGCTCGCCCCCGCCTCCTTGCTTTTGTTCCCCCTCACCTCGCGTGTTGTCTCATTCAACAATTGTCTCATCCGCAACCAGCCCGGAGGCTACAGAACTCCGAGTGTGTCTGCGCGCGAGCGACAGAGCACGAGAGAAACCGAGTGTGAGCATTAATTGCATTAGTAAATTGGTAGCCTACATACTACAATATATAATTACTATATAAGAGGCATGGAAGTTCGATTAATGGACTCCAGTAATCAGAAGGCTACTACAAACGTCTTGTATATTGCAGGGCTCGAATTTCGGCGCGGGTATTGCGCATAATTCTAATCATTCCCGCAGGTCTCCCATTTATAATGCGGGAAATTCCCGCAATCGTAATCCACACAGATTATAAAATCAAATCATTCTTTTAACAACTATCTGCCAGACGCAATTTCACAAACAGCGTGAGTGTTCAGCGGTGCCGCTTCTTTCTCGTCTCTCATAATGTGTTGTGCAAGGCAAGCATCAAGCGCTGCGGTGATAAAACACACTCGCGTTTAGGAGTCGGGACATGATGGATATTCACTCGCACAATCGGGCCAGCAGTGCATCGTGACTGAAGTTTACCATTTGCACGTCTTTTTAAGTCTTACCAGTTTAAACATTCAAGCGATTTTAAACTAATCTCGCGCGCTCTCTGAGAGATTATTTTCTATGCGCACATTCATAGAAAATCCGCCTTAAGAACAGCTGGCCAGTAACAAAAGTTATTTTTCGCGGATTATATTGCTTTAACACGCAAAATTGTCAATTTCGGTCGTCGTGAGTATACTCTAAACATAGTCGGTTTTGTCTTTAATAAGCATAAAACGCATGCCAGTATAATGAACACAGGATCCGTGCACTAAGTTACCTCTTAAAGTGACGGCAGCCATATGTGTCATTCATTTTGTTGTCAATACAACAAAAGATAGCTTTAAGTTAAAGGAATCAGGATTAATAACCTATGTATTTAATTTATTCAGGACTAAAATACTACTCAGTGTTATTTTCCATTTGATTACTTTATTCAGTTTCTGTATATGAATCACGTGATTAATAATGATGACGAAATTCAGGCCCTGTGTTTAATTTGTCTCATTTGGTTACATTCTGTTATGGAAAATTAATTTTCTATTGATTGTAGGCCTATATTTTGAGTTGTATTCACATCCATTTTCCTGTAAAGATATCGAGATATATATCGAATATCGAGATATAGCAAAATATATCGAGATATATTTTTTGCTCCATATCGCCCAGCCCTACACATGAGTGCCCTGGAGTATTTAATAATCATTATTAGTATTAATTTAATTAGAATATTTTAAAAGCCTTGAAACAGCATTATTCAATGTGTGTCTTCTGGCCAAGACAGCGTATAGAGCAGCAGTTTAACCACTAGCAAAGCCTCAACGCTTTTCCCTATCTTACACTTTTCCTGATTTACCCCAAACACTAACTCGCTGTGTACCTTGACATCTGATTGGTGCAGAAACGACTAATGATGGCTAAATAAGAGACGCTGACACGGAAAAGTTCATTCATCAGTGGCATCTGCAAAAAACACGTAGGGCTTACATTAAAATCATAACATGTTATAAGATGTAAAATAATCAATATTAGGGCTGTCACTAACCATTATTTTGGTAGAGTAGGCTAATCCATCAATTTTATATTTTTTGTGGTAATAAAAATAGGCCAACACAAACAAAAGCCTTTATTATCTTTTTTTAATTCATTTTAATAAAAAACATTTATTTATATAAGGGATAGCCTAATGTAGAGCGTCTTGATTCTAGAGGGTCTTGAATCAGGGCCTGAAGGGTTTGTATTCGCTAACAACCGCCTCATTATCCCACTTATTACATGGCTACCTACCAAATAAATCAATAATTTGACAAAATATTGATTTAAAAAGGAGTTTATTGATTTAAAAACGATTGTATTGAAGAGCAACGGTGTGTTATCAAGAAAAAGGCTGCATTCTACATTAGAATTCAACCAAGCCATGTAATAAATATAAAATAACTGAGGCAATAGAGTGCCGAAGTGATGACGTCACTTTGTAGGCCAACTCGGAGCAACTCGGACATGGGTTCCCTCGATCGAAAAGCGATGCACTTTCCCCATAGACTTTAGGAAAATCGCCAAAAATAAGATCTGCGTTTAACAAAGAGTTGTGACCCTTACACGTTTTGTCTATCAAGATAATCTTTACAAGTTAATCCAAAATGTATACATTTTGAAGCCTATATAAAGTTTTTAAAAAACACAAGCAGACACAATAAAGTTTAAAAAAAAAACACAAGCAAGTTATAACTGTGTGTTCTATGTCATAGATCAAAACGTGAAAATATTTAGAGGCTTTGTTCACAGACCTTATTTCAGGCGATTTAGCAAAAACCCATTCTAAAATCCCATAGAGTTTAGAGCGAGGGAACCGGGAGTGCTAAAATCAGGTTCCAGACGGCATGTTTTGAGAATGTGCGAGTTTAAATTGTATGTGGTCGCATGTGTGCGAGTGCATGATCATGTATTCAAAGAGCATACACCAGGGTTCATACACATTTTAACCAATACTTTTCCATGCCTTTTCCATGACCCTGTATTCCGAAGAGAGAGAGTGCGCGCGCGCGACCGGCTCTCTCTCTCTCTCTCTCTCTCTCTCTGCTCGTTCTTTCAGTTAAACTTGCAGCTCTGCTACAGTAGCAGATAACTTTAACCTTACATGCCGCCGGTCACATCGTCTCTAAACAGTCCGCTCACAGTGAAGTCCTGCGCGGAAGTGGTTTTTTTTTTTTTTATAATTCACCAACAACACCGCGAAACATTTCGGCACAGAGGGAAAAATCCGTCGTTTAATTGTTTAATCCGTCGTAAAAAAAAAAAAAAAAAAAAAAAAAAAAAATTGTATGAGTGACGTACACGCGCGAGAGATCACTTCTGGCGCTTTCCGGAAAAGACCGAAGCGTCCCTTTTTATCCCTTTAACCTCGGCTCTATATCGCCCAGCCCTATCATCTGTAATATTTGCCCACTTTACGGTAGAAATGCTACAGCGACTGTAATTTCTTCTAGAACATGTGGACTTCAAAACATGCAAACTCAGAGCGATGATTGAAACGTATTTAGAAACCGCGAGGAACAGTTTGCATATATTTAGAAACATATTGATGTATTCTCCTGTGTTGGCGTAGGTTTACAAATAATTGACCTTACACATCTGATGAAACGGCTCACATTCGTCTCTGATAGACCACCATCTTCTCTCATATTAAAACATTCATTATATCCAGCCAAGTTTCAAACATGGATTTCTCCTTACAGCAAATGGACGTCGCAGACCGGAGAGTATTGGGTCGCGTATCGTTAGAATTTTAACGATTCCAAATTTCGATTCCAATAAGGTAAAAAAAAAAAAAAAAACTTGGATATCATTCACATTTAGTCTTATTGCAAAACATTTATTTGTAGCTAAATATGATCGAAGAATATTTAAATCAACCAGTCAAAGGACACTTACGGAATGTTTGACTGGTTTAAAAACACCATAAAAACACAACTAGCCTAATATCCATTCCACGCGTACAGCAGTAAACGCACAGACACAGCAGCTGGAGAGTTTTCTCTAGATGTGGTCATCTTACCTGGGCGCGTGCGGGGGTCCGGTGTGGCCTTCCCGGACGAAGACCACCTCCACCCCCCTCCTGTGGCCCAGAGTGTGGAGGGCCGACACGGGGTGGGGGTGGTCTTCTTGCTGTTCCTGCTCCTGCTGCTGCTCCGCCATGTTTGTTTGTTTTTTGATGTTCTTCTTCGTCTTTTATGCGTTTACTGGCGACTAACAAACAAACAAAGGTTGTAGGCTCATAGCGCCACCTACTGTGCGGGGTTTAATTTTCAATTCATTTTTTTTTAGTAGGCCTAATGCTCGAATAACAATAACATAGACCATTGGCAAAGGATTGGCAATACATACAAATACACACACAAAATGAAACAATACATAATTTCTACATAAATGACAAATCTTACCACAAATTAAGAATAGTTATAAATTACTTAATAAAAGAAGGCTAAAAGTTATATAAGAAAAATATAATGCCATGACACCAGGATGTCAGCTCATGGGCCGTGTGAAGGCCTCATGACTCCACAAACCCGTCTCCACACCGGCGTACGAATCCTCCAACCAGATCCACTGATGCATGTTGTGAATGTTCTGATCCAGTCTGACTTCTGACCTGTAATGCTGCCTGAATCATATTCATAATCATAATCATACACTGTTGGTTTGTTGGCCAGAGGAGAACTGGCCCCATGTTCACATTTATAAGGAGAAATCCATATCTGAAACTTGGCTGGATATAATGAATGTTTTAATATGAGAGAAGATGGTGGTCTATCAGAGACGAATGTGAGCCGTTTCATCAGATGTGTAAGGTCAATTATTTGTAAACCTACGCCAACACTGGAGAATACATCAATATGTTTCTAAATATATGAAAATAAGTTTTAATCATCGCTCTGAGTTTGCATGTTTTGAAGTCCACATGTTCTAGAAGAAATTACAGTCGCTGTAGCATTTCTATCGTAAAGTGTGCAAATATTACAGATGAACTAAACATGTAAATGAAATGTTAGTCCAGTATTTAAGGGTTAGATCTGCTGTAGAGTGTAATAATCAGCAGGACAGTGGCGCCCACTGCAGGCGTGTGTTATTATACATGTTCACATAAGATGGTTTATATCATGTATTTAACAGTTGTTCTATAAAACCATAGAACAACTACTTGCTTTTGATACTTTATTTGAACTGAACATTATTACCTTATTTTTATATTATATATATATTTATATTTGTGTGGGTGTGTGTATTTGTATGTATTGTATTCTAATGTTACCCTTACAAAAAATAACTGCAGTACACTGAAGTACAACTGTAGATTTGCAGTATGATGAAGTAGCCAAGGCATATACAATAACTGCAGTTCAGTGATTAACTGAAATGCATGTGATCGAAGACTTTAAATGCAAATCCTCAAAGTCCATCTGACATTTCTTTTTTAACGAGGTAATTTAGTTGCCATTAAAGTGAAATTACTGAGCCTAAATAAAGGAGCTATATATTTATTTATGAAGGGGGACAATAACTGTGGGACACATACATTTCATATACTGTATTCCAATAATATATATTTTTTTTATTTAAGGTTATAATTTTAAGGAAAGACCGAGAGGATGAAGAGGGACAATATTTGTGGAGGGCACTGTACAGCATTTAAACATGATTGTGTCTTTCTGCGTTTTTACAGAAATGCATGTAGAAATTGCGTAGACTGTCATGAGTGACAGAAAGCTCTCAGATTTCATTAAAAAGATCTTCTATTGTGTTCCGAAAATGAACGAAAGTCTTGCGGAGTTGGAACAACATGAGGGTGAGTAATTTAACTTCTTTTATCTGGAGTCTTTAAAGCCATTATTAATGCTGAACAATAAACCATAAAAAATGAACTGGAAATAGTATAAATACTTTCCACAAACACTTGCTGACCCGGGCCTCGTTCTTTCATCTCCGAAATACCTCCAGGCTTAAACCCTCATTGACACAAGCCAGCACTGAAACCCCTGGTCACGTCTCGTCTGGATTATTGCAACTCCCTGCTTCTCATCGGTCTCCCTTCTAAGCTGTTAAATAGACTTCAAATTATTCAGAATTCTGCCGCTCGAATACTCACTGGTTCCAGACCATCTGATCATATCACACCTCTCCTTATCACTCTGGCTCCCTGTGCACTTCCGTGTTGACTTTAAGACCCTCGTCATCACTTACAAAGCCCTCCATAATCTTGCACCCAGCTATATTTATGACCTCCTATCAGGATATACACGCTCCCTTCGCTCTTCCTCAACTGGCCTTCTTAGGTTAGCATATACGGCGAGCGGCAAAGGACATAATCGTCAGCCATGGGTTTAACATGCAAACAAACCTGTGTGACCATAGAAAACTTTATTATTATTATTATCTTTTATTTTGAATTAAGAATCTTTAATCAGAGAGAAAAAGCCCCTAAAGGAACAAAGATGGGAGGAAAAATAATGTCAATGCTTTTGCGTTCCCCAGAGAAACTAGCGTTCGCTCGCAAAAACGTTTGTTTTCCGCCAATAAACTTTCACACGCAAAAAGGTCAAAAAGTTTTTTAGTCAGTTTCTTGCAAAGTTTTTCAGATATGACAGTGAATTAAGTAAATTAGATTAACCCAAGTATGAATATATTTATAATTTTTACTAAACCTGCCATTTAAAAAGAGCGTAGAAGAAATTGTGAAATGTACAGCCTTTGTTACGCAAAGATTTTTTTATTTATGGACTGACAAAGAGTAAATTGTTGGTATATTTTCAACTTAAAATAAGTGTATTGGAAATGTCAATAAACAAGATGAAGTGTTTAGTGAACAATTTTGTCCAGTAAAGGGTAAAGGGTTGAGGAGCCGACCAATGACAAGTTCCCAGCATGCTCCGCTCATGAATATGATTAAATACTCGCTAACTCTGCATTATATGTTCATATATACACACTACTATCATCACATATAGAGAAACTAGCTTATATCACTGATATATGACAATATTCATCAAATGTTACAGGAAAGCAGAGACTTCAGTGTGTAACCAGCGCACAGAAAGCCTGTAGCTCGAATAGGAAGAAATCAATGACCTTATTCTCACTGATACCAATATTATGAAGCTGCAGACTCGGAGCCTGCAACTACAGTCCCGCACCTAAAGTCCCGCATTCTCAGACCCCTCGTTTTCCGAGACAGCGCCTCCTGCTGTTCAAAAGATCGTATAACACCCGCACACAGAGTCCCGCGTTCTCAGACCCCTTGTTTTTCGGATGCAATATTACGGTCTCGTTTTATTTAAAGTTATCCAAATAAATATTTGCGTTCCCTGCTTAATGCATGTGCCAAAAAAACTCATTGTGTTACTGATGGAAGGGATACAATTACAGATTGAACTATCTTCTGAAAAATATTATGTGATATTATATTGCTACAATGTTTTTTTTTATTCAAATTCCAATTTTTCTTTCAGTTCAACCTATAATGGTCTAATTAACATTATACAATGCTAACATTACAAAACATGTTTTTTGATATTTTGAATGCGAAGCAAAACTCAAATAAGAATAGACAAAACACCAATAATAAACAATTCTGTACTTTATTTAATGATTACCTAAACATCATCTTGCTGTAAAGAAAAAAGGAAGAATTGTGTTAGTGACTTTACTTTTCGTCTTCAATTGCATTAAAAAAAATCCTCATTTATAAGTCGCTTTGGATAATCATAAAATGATAATGTTGCTGG